GCATGGTTTTGTGTGTGTGTGTGAGAGAGAGCAAGCTTTCTGGCGTTTCTTCTTATAAGGACACTAATCCTGTTGGATCAGGACCCCACCCTTATGGCCTCATTTAGCTTTAATTACCTCCATAAAGGCCCTATCTCCAAATACAATCACACTGGGGGATTAGGGATTCAACATACGAATTTGGGGGTGGGCACAACCCTTCAGTTCATAACATATTTACTCTCTTATCATTTCCTGTAATTATAAATGAAGACACTTAGGCTAAATGAGGTTAAGTAACTTGTCCAGGGTCATATAGCACGTAAGTCATCAGAGCTGAAACTAGATTTCAGGACTGACCCATGAAAGAGCCCCAATAACTAAAAAGTTAAAAAAATTTATCACTACTAATACAATACAAAGCCCATAGATTAATACATGATTACTAGAGTTATTTTCCTTATGATTATCATCCCCATTTCAGGTGCAGAAGAAAGACCCCAAGGACTGGGCTGTGCAGTACCGCGAGGCAGTGGAGATGGAAGTCCAAGCTGCAGCTGTGGCTGTGGCTGAGGCTGAAGCCAGGGCTGAGGCAAGAGCCCAAATGGGGATTGGAGAGGAAGCTGTGGCTGGGCCCTGGAATTGGGATGACATGGATATCGACTGCCTAACAAGGGAAGAGTTAGGCGATGATGCTCAGACCTGGAGCAGATTTTCATTTGAAATTGAGGCGAGAGCCCAAGAAAATGCAGATGCCAGCACCAACGTCAACTTCAGCAGAGGAGCTAGTACCAGGGCTGGCTTCAGCGATGGTGCTAGTATTAGCTTCAATGGTGCACCCAGCTCCAGTGGTGGCTTCAGTGGTGGACCTGGCATTACCTTTGGTGGTGCACCCAGCACCAGTGCCAGCTTCAGCAGTACAGCCAGTATTAGCTTTGGTGGCACACTGAGCACTAGCTCCAGCTTCAGCAATGCAGCCAGCAGTAGCTTTGGTGGTGCACCCAGCACCAGCACTAGTTTCAGCAGTGAATCTAGCATTAGCTTTGGTGGCATGCCTTGTACCAGTGCCAGCTTTAGTGGCGGAGTCAGCTCTAGTTTTAGTGGCCCACTCAGCACCAGTGCCACTTTCAGTGGTGGAGTCAACTCTGGCTTTGGAGGCATACTCAGCACCACTGCTGGCTTTAGTGGTGTACTCAGCACCAGCACCAGCTTTGGCAGTGCACCCACAACGAGCACAGTCTTCAGTAGTGCGCTTAGCACCAGCACTGGCTTTGGAGGCACACTCAGCACCAGTGTCTGCTTTGGTGGCTCTCCCAGCTCCAGTGGTAGCTTTGGTGGTACACTCAGTACCAGTATCTGCTTTGGTGGCTCTCCCTGTACCAGTACTGGCTTTGGAGGCACACTCAGTACCAGTGTCTCCTTTGGTGGCTCTTCTAGCACCAGTGCCAATTTTGGTGGTACAGTAAGCACCAGCATCTGCTTTGATGGCTCACCCAGCACTGGTGCTGGCTTTGGTGGTGCTCTCAACACCAGTGCCAGCTTTGGTGGTGCGCTCAACACCAGTGCTGGTTTTGGTGGTGCTATGAGCACCTGTGCTGATTTTGGCGGTACACTCAGCACCAGTGTCTGCTTTGGTGGCTCTCCCTGCACTAGTGTCAGCTTTGGCGGTGCACTCAACACCAATGCTGGTTTTGGTGGTGCTATCAGCACCAGTACTGACTTTGGTGGTATACTAAGCACCAGTGTCTGTTTTGGTGGCTCTCCCAGCACCAGTGCTGGCTTTGGTGGTGCACTCAACACCAATGCCAGCTTTGGCTGTGCCGTCAGCACCGGTGCCGGCTTCAGTGGTGCTGTCAGCACCAGTGCTGGCTTCAGTGGTGCACCCAGCACCAACCCTGGCTTTGGTGGTGCATTCAGCACCAGTGCTGGCTTCAGTGGGGCACTTAGTACCACTACTGACTTTGGTGGTACTCCCAGCAACAGCATTGGCTTTGGTGCTGCTCCCAGCACCAGTGTCAGCTTTGGTGGTGCTCACAGCACCAGTCTCTGTTTTGGTGGAGCTCCCAGCACCAGCCTTTGCTTTGGCAGTGCATCTAATACTAACCTATGCCTTGGTGGCCCTCCTAGCACCAGTGCCTGCTTTAGTGGTGCTACCAGCCCTAGTTTTGGTGATGGACCCAGCACCAGTACCGGCTTCAGCTTTGGCAACGGGTTAAGCACCAGTGCTGGATTTGGTGGTGGACTGAGCACCAGTGCTGGCTTTGGTGGTGGCCTAGGCACCAGTGCTGGCTTCAGTGGCAGCGTAAGCACCAGTTCTGGCCTTGATGGTGGGCTAGGTACCAGCGCTGGCTTCAGTGGAGGACCAGGCACCAGCACTGGCTTTGGTGGTGGACTGGGCACCAGCGCTGGCTTCAGTGGCGGACTGGGCACCAGTGCTGGCTTTGGTGGTGGACTGGTCACTAGTGGTGCCTTTGGTGGTGGACTGGGCACCAATGCTAGTTTCGGCAGCACACTTGGCACCAGTGCTGGCTTTAGTGGTGGCCTCAGCACCAGCGATGGCTTTGGCAGTAGGCCTAATGCCAGCTTCAACAGAGGACTGAGTACCATCATTGGCTTTGGCAGTGGTTCCAACACCAGCACTGGCTTTACTGGCGAACCCAGCACCAGCACGGGCTTCAATAGTGGACCCAGTTCTATTGTTGGCTTCAGTGGTGGACCAAGCACTGGTGTTGGCTTCTGCAGTGGACCAAGCACCAGTGGCTTCAGCGGTGGACCGAGCACAGGAGCTGGCTTCGGCGGTGGACCAAACACTGGTGCTGGCTTTGGTGGTGGACCAAGCACCAGTGTTGGCTTTGGCAGTGGAGCCGCCAGCCTTGGTGCCTGTGGCTTCTCCTATGGCTAGTGAGATTTCAGGTAATTACAATATTTCCATAGCCAGGATCCACAGGGATGGGTATAAGTGCTGGGAGATGTTATAAGAAACACTGAGGCAGGTGAGCGGGGTGGAAAGATGAGGGCAATGAAGGAATTATGAGAAGACAGTATATTTGGTGCTAAAATGTTTTCCTATTTGTTTTGATTTCAGATTTATTCCCCATGTTTACAGATACCGCTAATAAATTGCAGTAGTCCTTTCCATGGAGCCAAAGTACATCCTTGGAATCTTTGTCCTCACAGCAGTCTAAGCAGCTACAACCAATCAGCTGAGGGTGTCACATGATGAAAAAATCTGTTTGCTGTTCCTGCTTTATTGTTTGCTTTCTGTGTGCTGTCATATTTTGGTATCAGAGTTACATTAAATTTGCAACATGAATTGGAGTTTTTTTCTGTCTTTTAATGTGCCTAGGTAGTTGTAGAGTGACATCTTGGGTTCATAGAAGAGCTGGAGATCAGCAAAGCTCTTTGGAGAACGTGGGGCTCCAGCTTTTGGCTCAAAGGCAAGATAGCGGCCTGGGGAACGCATGGCAGGCAAGAGGATAACAGCTTGGGGAAAGATGGACAGGGAAAGCCTGGAGCAGAAGGCAAAGGGAGAGGGTTGTGGACACTAAGTACAGATTGATTTTGAGCCATTGGTGTAAGAATGGAGGGAAAGGCAGAGATCACTAGGTGTAGACATAGGAACAAGGGAGGGTTTAATTAGAATAGGAGAGGAAAACTTGAGCATATTGTATAGACTGTGAGGCAAAAGCTAATAGGGACAGGAGATCGATATGGAAGAGTCAGGAATTAACTGAAGTAGCCCATCCCTGAGAAGGTAGGATGGAATAGGGTACCAGAGAAGACGACCCTGATTTTGAATAGGACTTAAGGGTGGCTGTGGACGCAGATAAATATAGATCTGCTTCAAGCAGTGATCAGCAACTTTTGTAGTAGACAATAACAAAAAAAGGAGAAGTGGATTACGCAAGGTTTAGGTCTTGCTGGCTGGTTGTGATGGAAGGATAAGGGAACAAAGGCAGCAAGTTTATGAGTCTGTCTCTTTACCACTGGGTCGCTGGCACCTGGCTTAGAGTAGCTGCATGAAGAGTGACTGAAGAGCTAGACCATAGGATCCAACAGTTAGGGACAGAACACTAAGGATAGACTGGGGGACAATAGAGCATTCAAAGGACTCTGCTCTTGATGCTATACAGCAACAAATATTGTTCATTCAAGAAATACTACAGGCTGGGCACAGTGGCTCATGTCCGTAATCCCAGCACTTTGGGAGAGGCGAAAATGGGAGGATCGCTTGAGCACAGGAGTTTGAAACTAGCCTGGATAACATAGTGAGACCTCGTCTCTACAAAAAATTTAAAAATTAGCTGGGTATGGTGGTGTGCACCTGTGGTCCCAGCTACTTGTAAGAGAGGCTGGGGTGGGAGGATTGCTTAAACCCAGGAGTTCGAGGCTGCAGTGAGCTAAGATTGCACCACTACACTTCAGCCTGAGTGACAGAGTGACACCCTGTCTCAAAAACGAAAAAAGGTAATACTACATATATGCCTTTTGTATGGAGGCATGCCGCTGGGATTCAGTGGATGACAGAGTTGTAAGGACTGGGGTTGGGGTTGGGCAGTGGTCAGACAGTTGGATGCTTGTATTTAAGAAGTCAGACCAGAGAGATGATACCAAAATCCATGGAGCAGGTGGATGAAGGGGAGAACATGATCACTGGAGTTGAGGGGCTCAGGGGACTGGGAGGCCAGAGTATTGGTTAGATCATACACATAAACAGTGAAATCACTCAGGATGGCAGCAAGAGCTGGAGAAGAGAGGAGCACCTGGCTCAAGTGCCAGATTCTTCTCTGAGCGTAAGGATGAAAGTGTCATGCCCCCAGCCACCTTGCTCATCAAGGAACAAGGCCCACAGGCACTCACAGGCACCTATCTTCTCCCCCATCTTTGGAGGTGCTACTGTAGAACTTCCTTCCAGGAAGCACTCACCCATTCCATGCTCTCAGCAGCAGAGCCGAGTCAGGATTAGGATCAGTACCTTAAGAACAATTGGAAAAGCCTCGCCATGACCCCCTCCTCTCCTCTTGTAGGCAGTAAGTCTTTATTCGTCAGAGAATAGGAATTAAGAAAGTAAGTTTCATCCAGAGCTAGATAGCTCCTTGGTTGCGGCCAATAAGCAAGGCCGTTTGGGAGCTGCTGAGGACTTCTTCACTGGAAGTGGGGTGCCTCCGTGAGGACAAGGCAGAGTAGAAGAAGAGCAAAGACAGCATTTCCTAAAGGTGGAAGGCAATGAGGACACAGGCAGTTTGACTTCATGGAAAGGGCTCAGTAGTGGGCAGGGACAGTATCCAGGGCTTCCTCAGGTTCCCGGGTGATGTCCACATTCTGAAGAGAGAGCGCGGGATTAATAGGAAGGAGACAGCAGGGTAGGGTCCCAGCCCCTCCCCTGCCTCTTGTCCTCACTGCCAGGCTCCCCTCTTTCAGCCAGGCCTGGATCCTGACCCTCAGGTAGGCTTTGGGGAAATTTCAGCCTGAGGACTTTTTGGCAGGAACTGCCCAGCTCTCCATCTCCATGTGCCTGAGGGCTGGGCTGTGGTTCCTGCATTTCTGGGTGCTGGTTGCTCTGCCTGTTGGTGCAAAACACCCAGGCTCGGTGGGTTGGGGCAGCCTTTCTGTGGAGAAGGTGCTTTCACCGTGTGCTGTGTCCACAGCCAGCTTGGGCAATGGCGTCCTCCACCTACCTCAGGCTTCTCCCGGTGTGTGTTCACGGCCTCCACATTCAGGTAGATGGACTCCACCTTGCAGCCTTGGAAAAGAATAATCCATCTGTCCATAAGCCCCCGAGGTAGGCACAGGTCTCCCCTCAGGTGTCACCTCCCCCTATCACCACCCACACCCCCAGCTTCATACTGTGTACACATTGTCACTCTCCTGTAGGGAGGGGAATTTAGACAGCTGTGTGATGTGTGGGGAAGACACCAGGCCTAGGAAGCAGCCAACAGGGCATCCTGTCACCTCTGCCCCTAACAGTCTTAGTTCTCTGCACTTCAGTTGCACATTTGTAAATGGGGATGGAGATGAGAGATGAAGTCTATGGCTGCCCAGAGCTCTTGTGGTCCACAAGAGAGCAATCTCATCTACATAATATTGATGTAGCTCTGCAGATCTTCCAAGCTGTGTTAGGTGCTGAAGAGGTGGAAGAGTCCTGGGGTCACTGCCTTGGGCAATCAGTGCCAGGCGAAGTTTACCTGGAGGACAATGTGGTTGTGGCAACACCAGGAGTGTGGAAGGTCACAAGGCAGTTCTAGGGAACCTGAAGATGGAGGAGGGTACATCTTTGGGGTTTTGGGCTGACGGGGGAGGCCTAATGCCTATGGAAGCTCCCAAAGCTTCATCCCTGTGGGCTGCACCTTACTCCAGGCTTCCATAGGTCATCTGCCCTGTTCACACCCCAGAATAGGTTTAATTCTGTCCCTTCCCTGTTCATGGACCTTTCATAGCTAATGCCCCAAGAAAGGGCATGAACTGTCCAGGCTGGTCTTTGTGTTCTTTTTCCAATACAGTCCTAACCTACAATTTTCCTCTGGTCCCCTTTGGGGAAGCCCCCTTCTGCAGCTTGGTGCTCTGTGCTGGGTGCTCTGGCAGAGACACAGAAAGTCGGAGCCAGCCCCAGATTTAGAAGTCATCCTACTCTATGTTATCTTACTACCATCAGTCCCATCCGCACCAGGACATCCACCCACCTACCCAAGGAACCTGCTGCAGGACTCTTCGGGGCAAATGGTAGGCACTAGGGCCATGCTCATAGCCTCCATATGCCTGTCCTTGGATCAGGGTGGGAGTACTTACCATAAGCCACAGGAGTGAGTTTGAGCACTGTGTGCAAAGGGCACTTGAGATACGGAAGCTCAACCGGAAAGGAACAGGAAGCAGCTCTCAGAGGCAGGTCACCGCCTCCACAGGCCTCCAGGCTTGCTGGACGCTGCACCTTTCACGTCACCTTGCTGCAGTGGGGCCTCGCCAGGGGCCTCCTTCCCCTACGCTGTAGCGGCAGTGCTGAAAGCAGCTGGGAAAAGAGGAGGAGAGCAGGGTGGCAGGAGCGCCCTGGTGGAAAATGGGGGCAGACTGGAGTGGGACTCCTGCAGGAGGCTCAGACCGGCCACCCTGGAGACGACCACCACCTCACTCACATGGCAAACAGGAGACCGAGGCAGGTTTCTCTTCCGCCCCCAGCCTGAGGCCTTCTGCAGACCCCACACCACAAAGCCACATGGTCCATGCCAGCAAGTGTTTTCTGAGACCCTGCTGTGGCACTGGACAGCTCCCACAGCCTTCCCCCAGCCCGGCCTGCTCTCTCTGATCACCCCCGCCCCAGACCTGGTGATGGACGAATATTCGTGAATTCACGTTTCCAGTTATTGACATTATACATAAAGTTGTTCTGATTATCCATGTACAATTTCTTATAAGGGCCTATGTTTCCATTTCTCGGGCAAGCCCGCATGAAGCGGGGAGGTAAGCCCATTTCATGGTTTTGGCCAACTGAGGCTCTGAGAGGGAAGACGCTCTCCACAAGTTACATAGCCAGGAAGTGGCAGAGCAGGGACTTGAACCCAGGGCCCCCTGAGGCCAGGGTGCGTGCACTGGGCCCTGCTGGTGGCCACCCCTGCCATCCAGGGACTCCCAGTGTCCTGGGGGTGACACAGCCACCTGCTGCACACTCTCTCCTGACACCCCCCCTCCCGCCCCCTTGCCCAAACCCCCCCCCACCTCCCCTCATTTTTCGTGATCCCCACCCCTCATGGCTTCCCGAATGCCAGGTTCCATGCTAGGTTTCCGAGGCCTGCCCCCTCCCTTCCAGCCTCCCGAAACATCGGGTTGGGTGCTTTCCTTCCTGGGCATCCATCCTCCTGCTCCTCCTTGTTTTTGTCCTCATCAGGCCCTGGGCTAAGGGCGTAGTGCGTAGTGCCCACTGCCTCATGACACCTTCAAAGACAATCTGAGCTATACTGTACATCCTCCTTATATACTTGAGGAAACAGACTCAGAGAAGGGAAGCCACTTGCCGGAGATCTCTGACCCAGCTCTGCCACTGCCTCCACTAGTGACCTTGGCCCAGCCTCTTCTCTCTTTGGTCCTGTGTTTCATCTCACAGGGCAGTATTGGACTAGATGTACTCTGAGGGTGCCCCAGCCCTGAGGTTCTGTGGGTCTGCATTCTCAGTCACATCATCTCTCTGGGCCTTGTTCCAGCATTCACCTGAGTAATGGGGTGGAGGGGGTAAGAATATCTGTCCAGTGCTGCCCTGTCTGGCTCCCAAGACAGGAGGCCTGTGTGTAAAAAGCACTCCACGCATATCTGAGAGGGGAAGTCCTCTGGCATGTACCTGGGATCAATGTCTATCCCTGACACTCTTAGCCCCATGACCTTGGGCCAGTCACTTCACCTCTCCGGGTCTCCATTACCTCATCTGGGCAATGGGAGTTCCAGCACCTCCCTCATAGTCTCAAAACATTGCTCTGAAAAGTAGAGATGTGAACATAGAGAAATCTAGAAGTGCAAGGACCCCCACCACACATCCTATCACAAATTTCCAGTGAAGAAATTGAAGATCAGAGAGAGGAAATTCCTTATTTAATGTTAAGCTCTCAAGTACCCAGGTTCCAATTCTGGATGACTCCATATTACAGTGTTCTTTATTTTCAAATTAGCATCAAAGAAAAGATCCTAGACTGCAAAACACTGTAGACATTGAATATAATTTTGCATTGTTCTGAGACACTTTAAAAGTATCCTGGAAATGCTAACATTTGGAGTGATATAACAGTTTTTTGCCAGGCCAGCTGCCCCAGTTTGCAGTTCAGCCTATGTAGTCAGTGTGTAAATACTCTGTAAATGCAATGCCTAGATATTTTTTTAAAAAAATAAATTATCATTTGAAAAACAATTTAAAATGAAAAGCATCACTATCTTGGGGGAAATTACCCCTATAGCAAGGACAGAAACTTGTAATCAGGATCATGAAGCTGTGAAAGGCCCCACTATCACCTGATGGTGGCATGTTTCAGAGAAATACTAGCTCACCTTTTCCAGATTGAGGCAGATTGTTAATGTTGGCTTTGAAAATGTTAGCTAAGAATAATACTATACTAATAATAGCAGCTAGCACATAGCCCATAGAATGTGTCATGAACAGTTCTAAACTTTTTACCTATGTTATTTAAAATTCATCATTATTCTCCCCATTTTACAGATGAGGACATCGAAGCCAGAGAGGTTAAAGTAATTTGTGAACGGTAGTACAGCTAGTATGAGAAAGAGAAAGAATCTGAACCTAGGCATCCTTGTTTTAGATACTCTTAACTACTAAGATATAGATATCTAATTGCTGGTGTCAGTGTCTCAAATCCCATCAAACTTCCCCAAAACAGAGAGGAAGGTGGTACCTGAACTCTTATCCAGGAAATAGGCCAGGAGGCACCGCATGACAGCCTGGTGGCAGATTACCAGTACATTCTCCTGTCGTTCTAGCTCCATTATAACTGGCTCCAGACGCTGAACCAGATCCTCATAGGACTAAACATAAGAGAGATACTTGAGTGAGAAAGGGAGATGAGGCACATTTGCCCAGAGGGAAAGAACTCTAAACTAGGAATCAAGAACATTTGGTTCCAGTGCCAGTTCAATTGTTGACCCAGCAGTATGACCTCAGGCAACTCACTTCCTTCTTCGGGTCTTAGTTTCATCATCTGCTAAATGGGGGCTATTAATATAGTGGACTAAATAAGTGTATCAATACAGTGGACTAAATAACAATAACAACAATAAAACTCCCCCCTGCAAATTGTCTTCTTAAGTGCACTACCGACCTGTCAAAAAATTAAGGGAAATTTTATAAATATAGGGCCCCAAAATGAAGAAAAACTGAAAAAAAGTGATAAGTGGATGTAGAAACCACAGTTGCCCTGGAGGCATTTGCCAATCATAGTAACTAAGAGTTCTGAGTTTTAAAAACATTACAGAAGTAGAGAACAAGACCTCCAGTGTGTACAAGGTGGGGAGTTGAGACTGAGACTCTCACATAAATCTGAGACCCTCAAAAGGCAAATCTTTACACTCTTAGTAAAAGTTGCTTAACCAGCAAAAAGAAACAAGAAAGTATATCTGTCTCTCCTTGGCTCTCAGGGGAAATAAGTGAAAAGCCTCCTGTAGGAATTTATAACCACCAGACTTCCTTCAGGTGGGTTGGTGATTCAGAACTACACTACCCATGTGGTTTGAAGAACATTTTGCTGAGAGTTTTATAAAAAGTGGTCCCAAGTTATGAGCTCCCAGGACTGCTTAGAAGAAGCAAATGGAAATCTCTCTGGATTCTCTCAACTCAGGCTGTGTGAGATTCCCACAGATAAATTCTTGCCAAGCTGGAGCTCATATAACACACAAGGAAATAAGCTACCATGAGTGAAAATAAGCAGAAACAAGAAGAGAACCCTAAAAACTTAAGGGATGGGGGGTTTGATCCAAGATGGCCGTTTAGGAACAGCTCAGGATTGCAGCTCCCAGTGAAAGCGCAGAGGGTGAGTGGACGCCGCGTTTTTATTGCCCACAGACTAGGAAACTCGCGGGAAGAGGTGCTCCAGGGTCGCCAGCGCGGCTGTTTCGGCCAGCGCCGCTGCTTTGCCCCGCGCGGCTGCTTTGCCCCGCGCGGCTGCTTTGCCCCGCGCGGCTGCTTTG